TTATTATCACACTGGCCGATTCCCACCAAGGCAGGGTGGCCCGAAAAAGAAAAACTTTCACCATCATTCACTCCATCACTGTCTTGCCAGAAGGGTGCTTTACACTACAGTTTTTAAACTGCAACATTAACACCCCTCCTTCAGAGTGCAGGCACTGTACTTCCCATCTCCAGGACTCAAGTCCGGCCTGCCGGTTTCCCTGAATCCCTTCATAAATGTTACTTTGCTCACACTCCAACAGCACGTCAAGTATTAAAAACCATTTGTCTCCATTCACTCCTATCAAACACGCTCACGCATGCCTGCTGGAAGTCCAAGCCCCTCCCACACAAAACCTCCTTTACCCCCTCCCTCCAACCCTTCCTAGGCCGACCCCTACCCCGCCTTCCTTCCACTACAGACTGATACACTCTTGAAGTCATTCTGTTTCGCTCCATTCTCTCTACATGTCCGAACCACCTCAACAACCCTTCCTCAGCCCTCTGGACAACAGTTTTGGTAATCCCGCACCTCCTCCTAACTTCCAAACTACGAATTCTCTGCATTATATTCACACCACACATTGCCCTCAGACATGACATCTCCACTGCTTCCAGCCTTCTCCTCGCTGCAACATTCATCACCCACGCTTCACACCCATATAAGAGCGTTGGTAAAACTATACTCTCATACATTCCCTCTTTGCCTCCAAGGACAAGTTCTTTGTCTCCACAGACTCCTAAGGGCACCACTCACTCTTTTTCCCTCATCAATTCTATGATTCACCTCATCTTTCATAGACCCATCCGCTGACACGTCCACTCCCAAATATCTGAATACGTTCACCTCCTCCATACTCTCTCCCTCCAATCTGATATTCAATCTTTCATCACCTAATCTTTTTGTTATCCTCATAACCTTACTCTTTCCTGTATTCACCTTTAATTTTCTTCTTTTGCACACCCTACCAAATTCATCCACCAATCTCTGCAGCTTCTCTTCAGAATCTCCCAAGAGCACAGTGTCATCAGCAAAGAGCAGCTGTGACAACTCCCACTTTGTGTGTGATTCTTTATCTTTTAACTCCACGCCTCTTGCCAAGACCCTCGCATTTACTTCTCTTACAACCCCATCTATAAATATATTAAACAACCACGGTGACATCACACATCCTTGTCTAAGGCCTACTTTTACTGGGAAAAAATTTCCCTCTTTCCTACATACTCTAACTTGAGCCTCACTATCCTCGTAAAAACTCTTCACTGCTTTCAGTAACCTACCTCCTACACCATACACTTGCAACATCTGCCACATTGCCCCCCTATCCACCCTGTCATACGCCTTTTCCAAATCCATAAATGCCACAAAGACCTCTTTAGCCTTATCTAAATACTGTTCACTTACATGTTTCACTGTAAACACCTGGTCCACACACCCCCTACCTTTCCTAAAGCCTCCTTGTTCATCTGCTATCCTATTCTCCGTCTTACTCTTAATTCTTTCAATTATAACTCTACCATACACTTTACCAGGTACACTCAACAGACTTATCCCCCTATAATTTTTGCACTCTCTTTTATCCCCTTTGCCTTTATACAAAGGAACTATGCATGCTCTCTGCCAATCCCTAGGTACCTTACCCTCTTCCATACATTTATTAAATAATTGCACCAACCACTCCAAAACTATATCCCCACCTGCTTTTAACATTTCTATCTTTATCCCATCAATCCCGGCTGCCTTACCCCCTTTCATTTTACCTACTGCCTCACGAACTTCCCCCACACTCACAACTGGCTCTTCCTCACTCCTACAAGATGTTATTCCTCCTTGCCCTATACTCGAAATCACAGCTTCCCTATCTTCATCAACATTTAACAATTCCTCAAAACATTCCCTCCATCTTCCCAATACCTCTAACTCTCCATTTAATAACTCTCCTCTCCTATTTTTAACTGACAAATCCATTTGTTCTCTAGGCTTTCTTAACTTGTTAATCTCACTCCAAAACTTTTTCTTATTTTCAACAAAATTTGTTGATAACATCTCACCCACTCTCTCATTTGCTCTATTTTTACATTGCTTCACCACTCTCTTAACCTCTCTCTTTTTCTCCATATACTCTTCCCTCCTTGCATCACTTCTACTTTGTAAAAACTTCTCATATGCTAACTTTTTCTCCCTTACTACTCTCTTTACATCATCATTCCACCAATCGCTCCTCTTCCCTCCTGCACCCACTTTCCTGTAACCACAAACTTCTGCTGAACACTCTAACACTACATTTTTAAACCTACCCCATACCTCTTCGACCCCATTGCCTATGCTCTCATTAGCCCATCTATCCTCCAATAGCTGTTTATATCTTACCCTAACTGCCTCCTCTTTTAGTTTATAAACCTTCACCTCTCTCTTCCCTGATGCTTCTATTCTCCTTGTATCCCATCTATATATATACATTATATATATTTCTTTCAACACACCGGCCGTATCCCACCGAGGTGGGGTGGCCCAAAAGGAAAAACGAAAGTTTCTCCTTTTACATTTAGTAATATATACAGGAGAAGAGGTTACTAGCCCCTTGCTCCCGGCATTTTAGTTGCCTCTTACAACACGCATGGCTTACGGAGGAAGAATTCTGTTCCACTTCCCCATGGAGATAAGAGGAAATAAACAAGAATAAGAACTAGAAAGAAAATAGAAGAAAACCCAGAGGGGTGTGTATATATGTGCTTGTACATGTATGTGTAGTGTGACCTAAGTGTAAGTAGAAGTAGCAAGACGTACCTGAAATCTTGCATGTTCATGAGACAGAAAAAAGGACACCAGCAATCCTACCATCATGTAAAACAATTACAGGCTTTCGTTTTACACTCACTTGGCAGGACGGTAGTACCTCCCTGGGCGGTTGCTGTCTACCAACCTACTACCTACAACATTATATATATATATATATATATATATATATATATATAATATATATATATATATATATATATATATATATATATTATATATATATATATATTATTTATTATCACACTGGCCGATTCCCACCAAGGCAGGGTGGCCCGAAAAAGAAAAACTTTCACCATCATTCACTCCATCACTGTCTTGCATATATTATATATATATATATATATATATATATATATATATATATATATATATATATATATATATATATATATATATATATTATATAATATATATATATATATATATATATATATATGCAGGGCAAGCCAGGGGGGTGAAAATCTTTAGCTCAAGTACTTTCACACTTCTCAGTGCGTCATCAGGAGCTGTGCAATGTAGCAAGGGAGCAATCAAAGCAGGGAGAGAGGTCTCAGAATAGCGTAGGTGTCACCGGCCACGGTTACAGCTTCTGATGACCCACTGAGAAGTGTGAAAGTACTTGAGCTAAAGATTTCCACCTCCTCCCCCCCCCGTGGCTTGTCCTGCATAGTTAAGACCGCCCTTCTGCGTTTGTTCTATATATATATATTATATATATATATATATATATATATATATATATATATATATATATATATATATATATATATATATATATATATATATATATATATATATATATATATGTGTGTGTGTGTGTGTGTGTGTGTGTGTGTGTGTGTGTGTGTGTGTGTGTGTGTGTGTGTGTGTGTGTGTTTGTGTGTGTGTGGTTTTGTGTGTGTGTGTGTGTGTGTGGTGTGTGTGTGTGTGTGTGTGTGTGTGTGTGTTGTGTGTGTGTGTGTGTGTGTGTGTGTGTGAGTGTATTTTTATATATACAGTGAGATTCAAAGAAACAGGTGATGTTTTAATATAAAAACAACCACAGTAGTGAAATTCCAGGCTCTTTCGTGATATCTAACATTATCAAGGAACAGTAAAAATAATAGGCCAACAGAAGACTTATTATGGGAATATTGTGAAGTTCTTAGTCAAGTCACACGTCCAGAGAATATTTCCCTTCACCTGTCAGGTGAAGGGGAATTTTGTCAACATAGTTTATAATCTTCACATATTACATTCATTATAAATTAACCTAATTTATATAATCCTGATCTTATATTCATATTGCAACATGGACCTGCTTCATACAACTTTCTCACCCTTTTAATTATCAGTTGAGTGGTATAATATCCTTCACATGAAAAACCAGAGCATTAAACTCTAGTCCTTTTCTAATGGTATTTGTATGAGATTATACTCTTAGCTCAAAACTTTATTTGATTTGCCATTACTAACTTCATTGCATTTTCTACAGGAAATATTATACACACAGCCATCAACATTTTTGGGAAATTTTTTATTAATTTTTTTTAATACTGTACCATAAATTTTAAATGCAACCTTGATGTATATCAGGTATATCAGGAAAGCTTAAATGATAAGGTAGATCCAACATATTCTTGGTTGAATATGGTTCTTTAAGAATTGTAAAATGTACTTCTGGCAAGTTTAAGATGTTTCGAATATTTAGATTATAAGAAATTTCATAAATCTTCAATATTTCCTCATCTGTTAAGTCTGGGCTGCAAATGGTCAAACTTCCAGAAGATGGAAGAGAATACAGATGTGAAGAATGATAGTGTACATAAGAGCAATTATTTGTTGGTTTTCTGTGCACTTTGATTCTAGATTCTCGGTTCCCTATAATAATTAAAACATCTAAAAAATTACAATATGTTATTTTGCTCGAACTGAGCAATAAAATTTATGGATGGAGATATACTATTTAATTCAAACAGGAATTGGTTGATATCTATATTCTTGGACATTAAGCATATAATGTCAGCCACATATCTGTATCATTTAGCTATATTGGGAAAAGTTTTGGTAAGCAGTTTGCTTTCATAAAATAGCATATACAAATTGGTAAGGACTGGAGAGGGTAAATTTCCCATTGTCATACCAAACTTCTGAGTGTAAAACTCGTCATTAAACACAAACTTTACATCAACAATACTCCACCTTACTCTGTCTCTCAGCTCCATCTTACTGTCTATCCGCAGGGTTATCACCTGATCGGACAGGCGACGAGACACTGTCAGGCCAACGGGATCTGGACGTCAGCACCTCCTGAGTGTCGTGAGAACTGTATGTCCTTCTTAAGCTAACTTTCCACTGCTGAATATTATTAGTAGTATTATTTTAGTGACAATATATGTAAAAGCCTTGTACTATTGTTTATATGTATATTTGTTGTGCCAAATTCTATTAAAAATTGGACTTTTATCAAAAAATTCTTACAAATTGATAGATATATATTTCTTCATTGAGAGTGATAGAAAATATTTTGTATATATAAATATATATATACTTTATATATATATATATATGTATATATATATAAATATATATATATATATATATATATATATATATATATATATATATATATATATATTTTATATATATATATATATACATACTTATATATATATATATATATAAAATACTGGTCGCCTTTGCCCAGCGGTGAGAGTAGCGACTCTCATTGCTGACGTCCAGGTAATAAACCCTAGACATTAACATAAAAAAAAAATTCATAACAAAAAAATAGTAGTAGTAGGTTGGTAGACAGCAACCACCCAGGGAGGTACTACCGTCCTGCCAAGTGAGTGTAAAACGGAAACCTGTAATTGTTTTACATGAGGGTGGGATTGCTGGTGTCTCCTTTTCTGTCTCATAAACATGCAAGATTACAGGTACGTCTTGCTACTTCTACTTACACTTAGGTCACACTACACATACATGTACATGTTTATTTATACACACTCATTTGAGTTTTCTTTGATTTTATCTTAATAGTTCTTGGTCTTATTACTTTTCCTTTTATATCCATGGGGAAGTGGAATAAGATTCTTTCCTCCGTAAGCCATGCGTGTTGTAAAAGTCAACTAAAATGCCGGGAACAATGGGCTAGTGACCCCTTTTCCTGTAATAATTACTAAAAAGAATAAGAAGAAGAAAATTGTCAAAGTGGGAAGTCTGAATGTGCGTGGATGTTGTGCAAATGATAAGAAAGAGATGATTGTGGATGTTATGAATGAGAAGAAGCTGGATGTCCTGGCTTTAAGTGAAACAAAGATGAAGGGGGTGGGAGAGTTTCAATGGAGAGGAATAAATGGGATTAGGTCAGGGGTTTCAAATAGAGTTAGAGCTAAAGAAGGAGTAGCAATAATGTTGAAGGATAAGTTATGGCAGGAAAAGAGGGACTATAAATGTATTAATTCAAGGATTATGTGGAGTAAAATAAAGGTTGGATGTGAAAATTGGGTGATAGTAAGCGTATATGCACATGGAGAAGAGAGAAGTGTAGAGGAGAGAGAGAGATTTTGGGAAATGTTGAGTGAATGCGTGGGGAGTTTTGAACCAAGTGTGAGAGTAATGGTGGTTGGGGATTTCAATGCTAAAGTGGGCAAAAATGTTGTGGAGGGATTAGTAGGTAAATTTTGGGTGCCAGGGGTAAATGAAAATGGGGAGCCTTTAATTGAGCTATGTGTAGAAAGAGGTTTGGTAATAAGTAACATATATTTTCTGAAGAAGAGAATAAATAAATATACAAGGTATGATATAGCACGTAATGAAAGTAGTTTGTTAGATTATGTATTGGTGGATGAAAGGTTGATGGGTAGGCTCCAGGATGTACACGTTTATAGAGGGGCAACTGATATATCGGATCATTATTTAGTTGTAGCTACAGTTAGAGTAAGAGGTAGATGGGAAAAGAGGAAAATGGCAACAACAAGTAAGAGGGAGGTGAAAGTGTATAAACTAAGGGAGGAGGAAGTTCGGGTGAGATATAAGCAACTATTGGCAGAAAGGTGGACTGATGCAAGTATGAGTAGTGGGGGGGGGGGTTGAAGAGGGTTGGAATAGTTTTAAAAATGCAGTATTAGAATGTTGGGAAGAAGTTTGTGGTTATAGGAGGGTGGGTGCAGGAGGAAAGAGGAGTGATTGGTGGAATGATGAAGTAAAGGCCGTGACAAAGGAGGAAAAGTTAGCTTATGAGAAAGTTTTTACAAAGCAGAAGTGTTATAAGAAGAGCAGAGTATATGGAGAGTAAAAGAAATGTGAAGAGAGTGGTGAGAGAGTGCAAAAGGAGAGCAGATGATAGAGTAGGAGAGGCACTGTCAAGAAATTTTAATGAAAATAAGAAAAAATTTTGGAGTGAGTTAAACAAGTTAAGAAAGCCTAGGGAACAAATGGATTTGTCAGTTAAAAACAGAGTAGGGGAGTTAGTAGATGGGGAGAGGGAGGTTTTGGGTAGATGGCGAGAATATTTTGAGGAACTTTTAAATGTCGACGAAGAAAGGGAGGCGGTAATTTCATGCACTGGACAGGGAGGTATACCATCTTTTAGGAGTGAAGAAGAACAGGATGTGAGTGTGGGGCAGGTGCATGAGGCATTACGTAGAATGAAAGGGGGTAAAGCAGCTGGAACTGATGGGGTCATGACAGAAATGTTAAAAGCAGGGGGGGATATAGTGTTGGAGTGGTTGGTATTTTTGTTTAATAAATGTATGAAAGAGGGAAAGGTACCTAGAGATTGGCGGAGAGCATGTATAGTCCCTTTATATAAAGGGAAGAGGGACAAAAGAGATTGTAAAAATTATAGAGGAATAAGTTTACTGAGTATACCAGGAAAAGTGTACGGTAAGGTTATAACTGAAAGAATTAGAGGTAAGACAGAATGTAGGATTGCGGATGAGCAAGGAGGTTTTAGAGTGGGTAGGGGATGTGTAGATCAAGTGTTTACATTGAAGCATATATGTGAACAGTATTTAGATAAAGGTAGGGAAGTTTTTATTGCATTTATGGATTTAGAAAAGGCATATGATAGAGTGGATAGGGGAGCAATGTGGCAGATGTTGCAAGTATATGGAATAGGTGGTAAGTTACTAAATGCTGTAAAGAGTTTTTATGAGGATAGTGAGGCTCAGGTTAGGGTGTGTAGAAGAGAGGGAGAATACTTCCCGGTAAAAGTAGGTCTAGACAGGGATGTGTAATGTCACCATGGTTGTTTAATATATTTATAGATGGGGTTGTAAAAGAAGTAATTGCTAGGGTGTTCGGGAGAGGGATGGCATTAAATTATGGGGAATCAAATACAAAATGGGAATTGACACAGTTGCTTTTTGCTGATGATACTGTGCATATGGGAGATTCTAAAGAAAAATTGCAAAGTTTAGTGGACGAGTTTGGGAGTGTGTGTAAAGGTAGAAAGTTGAAAGTGAACATAGAAAAGAGTAAGGTGATGAGGGTATCAAATTATTTAAATAAAGAAAAATTGGATATCAAATTGGGGAGGAGGAATATGGAAGAAGTGAATGTTTTCAGATACTTGGGAGTTGACGTGTCGGCGGATAGATTTATGAAGGATGAGGTTAATCATAGAATTGATCAGGGAAAAAAGGTGAGTGGTGCGTTGAGGTATATGTGGAGACAAAAAACATTATCTATGGAGGCAAAGAAGGGAATGTATGAAAGTATAGTAGTACCAACACTCTTATATGGGTGTGAAGCTTGGGTTGTGAATGCAGCAGCGAGGAGGCGGTTGGAGGCAGTGGAGATGTCCTGTCTAAGGGCAATGTGTGGTGTAAATATTATACAGAAAATTCGGAGTGTGGAAATTAGGAGAAGGTGTGGAGTTAATAAAAGTATTAGTCAGAGGGCTGAAGAGGGGTTGTTGAGGTGGTTTGGTCATTTAGAGAGAATGGATCAAAGTAGAATGACATGGAGAGCATTTAAATCTGTAGGGGAAGGAATGCGGGGTAGGGGTCGTCCTCGAAAAGGTTGGAAGGAAGGGGTAAGGGAGGTTTTGTGGGCGAGGGGTTTGAACTTCCAGCAAGCGTGCGTGTGCGTGTTAGATAAGAGTGAATGGAGACGAATGGTATTTTGGACCTGACGATCTGTTGGAGTGTGAGCAGGGTAATATTTAGTGAAGGGATTCAGGGAAACCGGTTATTTTTATATAGCCGGACTTGCATCCTGGAAATGGGAAGTACAATGCCTGCACTCCAAAGGAAGGGTTCAGGATATTGGCAGTTTAAAGGGATAAGTTGTGTATCTTTATACGTATATGCTTCTAAGCTGTTGGGTTCTGAGCACCTCTGCAAAAACAGTGATTATGTGTGAGTGAGGTGAAAGAGTTGAATGATGAAAGTATATTCTTTTTGGGGATTTTCTTTCTTTTTGGGTCACCCTGCCTCGGTGGGAGACGGCCGACTTGTTTAAAATATATATATATATATATATATATATATATATATATATATATATATATATATATATATATATATATATATATATATATATATATATATATAAACACTGATCTCTGGCTGAAGGAGACTCGAACCTACGAACCTTAGGACAAGGTACGCAGTGCTTTACCAATCTACCCACACTGGACCAATACCTTGGCGTGTAGCATGCGCTACACGTTTGATCCAAGGCAGCCAGCTTTCAGGGAGAAGGCTTACAGCTTTTCATCTCATCCCCTGCATGCATCAGCCTTACTAGAGATTTGAACAATGCAAGGAATTCGCGAGAGCATGCGAAATATACACAAACACTGATCTCTGGCTGAAGGAGACTCGAACCTACGAACCTTAGGACAAGGTACGCAGTGCTTTACCAATCTACCCACACTGGACCAATACCGTGGCTACACGCCAGAGGCTCACTGAAAACCACGACCTCCCTTTACCTCTTCTAGATTTCATCAATCTAGTGGAACTGTGTGTTAATTTCAACTTCTTCAAGTATCAGGACAACTGTTACAAACAATGCTTTGGGATGGCAATGGGCAGCCCGCTCAGTGCTGTGCTTGCCAACCTCTTCATGGAAAACTTGGAGACAGAGAAATTCAGCACCCTCATTCCCAACACCGTTACCTGGCTAAGATACGTTGATGATATATTGGTTTTCTATCCGAGACGTCTCAATATCCAGGCCCTTCTCAACAAGATCAATGCAGTTGAACCATCAATAAAGTTTACACTTGAACTCGAAAATGATGGCAAACTTCCTTTCCTCGACGTTCTACTGTGCAGATCTCCCGACAGTGACAAACTTCTCTTCAAAGTGTATAGAAAACCTACCAACAAGGACGATCTTATACACTTTTATTCACACCAAGATACCCGCACTAAGAGAGGAGTCCTCATTGGCTTCTTCTTGAGAGCTCTTCGCATCTCCAGCCCTTGTTTTCTAGAAGAAGAATGCACTTACATAACACAAGCCTTTACACGTCTTCAGTTCCCATCTTTCTTCATCCGAGATTGCAGACTCAAGGCACAAGCTATCCTCAACAAACCGCCCATGGAACAGCCCCCTAAACAGTTCATAGTACTCCCATGTGGCGATGTTGCCACGAATACTCGCCGGGCACTTGCTATGAGTAACATCAACGTTTCCACCATAAACACATCCTCTATCAAAGACCTCACTACTAAACGCAGCCCCACACCTCTAACTTCTACAGCAGGCGTCTACACTATCCCCTGTGGGTTCTGTCCCAAGAAATATGTAGGCGAGACAGGCAGAGATCTTGCAGTCCGCCTGAATGAGCATCGAAATGCCTCTAACAGAGACGATGTAAGGTACGCCTGTGTCCTCCACAGAGACTCCACGGGGCATTTGATGAACTGGAACGAGGCACAACTCGTTCTCACCGAACCAGACCTCAGACGCCGACGGTGCCTAGAAGCCTCACTAATCACCGTCACCGACACTATAGAACGCAACACTGGAAACTACAAAATTTCAAAAACATTGGCATACATGATACTTAAGCAGCACCAACCCACAACACAGGAGTCACATGATTTCATCGTCTACCCGTCCTCATCATAGGCAGCGGTTGTTTTGATAAGGACCTGCCTCGCATGGGCCAGTAGGCCTTCTACAGTGTTCCTCCATTCTTATGTTCTTATGACATTCCTCAGGTCACGTGCGTCACATCTCACTCTCCGCCTATATATATAATGTCTTTCTACCTCTGTATGTTAGAAGTGATCAAGGTCCCAGGACCGAAACGTTTTCTAATATATATATATATATATATTATATATATATATATATATATATATATATATATATATATATATATATATATATAGGGAGGTACCACCTCTAGAACTGTCCTTGGGACCCTCATCCTCAGAGAAAAGAATAAGCTTGCTTCTGGGAAAACTCAAGGTTCTCCCTGAAGCTGTTTGAGAATTTTCTCCTACCACCCCCTATATTTAATACATATTTTATTTAAAGACAAAATACATTGACAAAACATTCACAAAGATACAATAGAAAGTAAAAACACATAGGTAACTCAGAGCTTCATTTCGAATACTTCGTCCAGCTCCCTGGCGGTGGGCCGCGTGCCCAGAATGCTGCAGGCACTTGCTCTCTGAATCGCAACACTGAGTCCCTGAAAGAGGAAACTGGTCGCCCTGTGGTCCTTGGTTTCTATGATGAGCTTTTCACCCAGCTCTTTGAAGAACTTTAGAGCACACTTGCCCCATGCTCCAAGGGTCTCCGACCCTATTGGGAAGAAGTTATAGCAAGGGGAAAGGTCTTCATATTTGCGGATCTTCTGGGTCTCCCTGTGGCTGGCAGCTCCACCCCCTTCCACTACGGAGTATGGCAAGTAGGTGTCTGCCAATGTGGCGGCACAGGTGTAGTCCCATGCAATCTGCTTTCCATCCTTCCAAGGTAGCATAGTGGCGCCATCAGGACGCTTTTGAGTTCCGTCAGACCTCTGCACTTGGGGTTCCCGTTGAGCTGGGCGACGGGCTGTGGCGAGGCTTCTCTTTATGATGTCATTGACCTCCTCATGTCTTGCATACTTCCCTTCTGCTGTGTGACACACGAGACCATGAAGTCCGAATTGATCAGCTGTCGCCCTGCCGCAAATACACCTATGTTCGGTGAGGATGGGGGCGGCTAGGCGAAGAGCAACACCAATCCGAATGACCTGTGGGTCTAGTCGAGTGCCCAAGGAGGAATTGGGAACAGCTAACAGGAAATCTCCTGAGTGTGGTGCCTTCACTGCCAGGAGACGAGCTTTGTCCTTTCCTGAGACGTTGGAGAGCACACACACACACACACACACACACACACACACACACACAGAGGTATGACAAAGCTCAGGAAGCAGAGAGAGAGAGGATCCAGTAGCGATCAGTGAAGAGGCGGGGCCAGGAGCTGAGTCTCGACCCCTGCAACCACAATTAGGTGAGTACAATTAGGTGAGTACACACACACACACACACACACACACACATACACACACACACACAAAGTGCAAAGGTTTGCAACAAGACTAGTCCCAGAGCTACGGGGATTGTCCTACGAAGAAAGGTTGAGGGAAATCGGCCTGACGACACTGGAGGACAGGAGGGTTAGGAGAGACATGACAACGACATATAAAATACTGCGCGGAATAGACAAGGTGGACAAAGACGGGATGTTCCAGAGAAGGGACACAGACACAAGAGGTCACAATTGGAAGCTGAAGACTCAGATGAATCGAAGGGATGTTAGGAAGTATTTCTTCAGTCACAGAGTAGTTAGGCCGTGGAATAGCCTAGAAAGTGACGTAGTGGAGGCGGGAACCATACATAGTTTTAAGGCGAGGTATGATAGAGCTCATGGGGCAGGGAGAGAGAGGACCTAGTAGCAATCAGCGAAGAGGCGGGGCCAGGAGCTGTGACTCGACCCCTGCAACCACAAATAGGTGAGTACAAATAGGTGAGTATACACACACACACACACACACACACACACACACACACACACACACACACACACACACACACACACACACCACACACACACACACATATATATATATATATATATATATATATATATATATATATATATATATATATATATATATATATATATATATATATATATATATATATATATATATATAATTTGGTGCAAATGGTTGATGCAAACATTTCTTTTTACAATACTTGACGGCAAATGTCCGTCTTGTGCAACCACGACTTTCTCCACAGTTTACTGCTCCCATACCCTCCTCTCCCCAAGCCTGTACCAAACTCACGCCCTCTACCCTTAGAGAATTACATCCACCATTCACTACAGTGTACTACGCCTACACCCTAACACTCAGTGTACTAAGAACACACCCTCTCTTACAGTGTACTGCATTGACCCGCCCACAATTCCCAACGCTCGTCACAGCGGCTTGGCTGGCCAGACCAGATTTGAAGTGAACCAGACATTATTATACTCCTGTTACGAGGGCTATACAACACGGGGCTTCGACGTGGCCAAGTGCTTCCTCTATAACAACACTATGCAGTGGTTCGGCCCAGAGATTGAGTGTGAAGGTGAGTCCAGAGTGAGTGTGTGTGTGTGTGTCTGTCTATCTGTCAGCTTGTCTGTCTGTGTGTCTGTCTGTGTCTGTGTGTGTATGTGAGTGAAAATAATTGAATATGGATTTATGGTTTCTCTTGGAAGTTTAGTCTCTTGTGTTCTACTATCACGAGGGAATTTAACTTCATACTCGTTTTACATACATCCTCATCATTGTATCTTTTTGAGAAGACATTCACACTGGCTCTGCCTTCTCTAAGACATTCACATAATCAGTAGTAATTCATCATTTGCCGGACCCATTTTAAATCACAGTATCGCAGCAGTGTTACGGAAATAAAGTTAACTGATTTAATAGAGATGGAGGGGGATGGGGGTTAGTGAGATATTCAATAACATGCACTACAAGTCATTTATGTAGGATGGAGACATTCTTGCTCAGTTCACTCCATTCTTCTCCTCAGCCAAGTCATGCGGCGATCCTGGGGAGATCCTTAATGGCTTCAAAGAAGGATCTTGCTTCTCCTTCTCCTGCAGAGTGACCTACCAGTGCCGCCCGGGGTTCGAACTGGTGGGCAAGAGCAACAATTATTACTGCCAACACGACGGCACCTGGACTCCCCAAAAACTACCAATCTGCACACGTTAGTACCTCCTGGAGATGCCGTCTGTTAAACCTTACGTTGGTACTTGTTTTCATGCCGCTAATTCTTCTCTTTCTTCCTCCCCTTCTTCTCTGATCCTGATTCTCCTGTCTCTCCCTCTTCTCTCCCTCTCTCTCCGTCCCTCAGCGGTGCAGTGCGACATCCCAGAAAACCCGGACAAAGGGAAGGCCATCTTCATAGCGGTGTCGTACAACGCAGTGGTCTCCTACGACTGCAACTATGGCTACATGATCGTCGGCTCCTCCACCAGACGATGTGGCGCCGACAAGAAGTGGAGCGGGGTTAAACCCATTTGTAAACGTGGGTGGTTTTGTGATTTGTGGTCTCTGCTGGATATTAGTTAGTCAGTTTGTGAGAGTGGTGGAGCGTATTTAGTTACTTTGTGAATGTGAAGAATTGTAGTTAGTAAATTTGTGAATGTGGTTAGTCAGTAAGATAGACTATAGTTTGTTTGGTGAGGTTGGGAGACTTTATATAAATTGTCTTCCAGTAGTGCTCTGCTGGGGACGCTAGAATCTTAAACAGAATTTCATATTTAGTTGAGAAAGTTAAATTAATGTCTTAGAAAAACAATTTTCAATCACTATTTCAATTTGTTATCTGAAAGTTATGCTAGAAAGCTATGGAGAGCATCTTGAGAATAAGTGCAATATTTCTTAACAATCTTAGGGAGGCACTCGTTGGTGCAGTTTATCAGTGAAAATAAGCTGCATCGTTGCTCAATGGTAGGGCCATCGGCTCGCAACCAAAGAATCCAGGCTCGATCTCAGGCGTGTCGAAACAGCAGGGTAAGTTGCGTCGCACACGTTGCCCATGTTCACTTGGCAGTAAATGGGTACCTAGGTGTTAGCCGACTATTGTGGATAGTATCCTTGGCAAAGGGGAGGAAATTGTAGACTATATATTTGAAATGAGCTGAGGAAGTATAACAACCCTTGATCAATAAATGTAACAATGGAAAAAATGGATGAGATGGTGAAGCAAAAAAAAAAGACGTAAAGGGAAAAATAATAGGATATATACGTTTTAATCTACATCATGTGGTTCTCAACACCATAGAGACTCCCGCTTTCTGACGTCCTCACAAGAAATATAAATCACTTACTTTTCTGGGCATGGAGATGAGATCAAAGTCGTGAGAAGCAGATTATCCGTCTAACTCTCTGTATTGACTTAACAAACTATCTCCTCTTTGTTTTCTTGTTTATACTTCAAAAATGTGTTAGTCTACAAGTCACAACTTTCTCACGCCATTAATGGACGTCACTAACAAGGCCATTTTTCTGTTTTACAAGGTTTAAGCCACTATGGAAAATATTTGGTGCAAAGTTAACCTTTCTTACAGATATAACTCTCCTTGTAAAGCTTTATAAATCCATACATATAAGCCGTAAAGATAAGGTGACTGATGAAGAGAAGAAGTAGGTCGTAACTGTGTCACCTTTGTTGTTGTCGGGTGTCAACATCGACCTCACCTGCACTTGTTTAGTTTTCCCGCGAAAGAACCTTCGAACATAACCATGCATGCAAAACTCACATTCAGAACAATACTTGTATTATGCACTAGAGAGACACGCATAGACTTGCGATACTTAAAACCGTCATAAAGACAGCAAGGCTAGAGAACTGTGTTTAGAAGCAGCAATCATACAGACCAACAAGATAGAACATGAGGATACATGGGGGAGAGTTACTCGCTAAACTCATTTGACGCAGGAAAATTCTTCAAGACCAGGTGATGTTGATACCCACTTACAACACCACTACGTATAACCTTTAACCCTGACCTACTTCCTTTCATCACTCACCTGTATATTAAATCCTGTCCCAGTACTCCTTGCATGACTTGATAAAGATCTCCCCAGAGCGAAACGTCATCTACAATCAAATTGTTTTCTCGCACCGCGTGTTTCTACCACTCTTGTTGGTAATACCTGCCATACAGCGCATAGGTCATTAGTTTAAATTTAATGTCATTGCACTCTCACTACAGTTCCCATGTCATTAGATAAAGATGCAGATCGTGAATTATTCTTGTATGCATGTGAAGCTTGTAACATGTGCATCTATGAGGAAGTTCAGTGCAACATGGAATGCTGCATTTAATCTTGTATTCCAATAAGTATAATATTGCCACAAAATATCTTAATTAGTGAAATAATTTATAAATCAGATGAGCGATGAAGTTTAATTGGGATAATTGTGGTAGTATCCGAGACTGGTAAATGGAAATGTGTGGTTGTAATGCATTGGAAGTTGAAATTGGTAATGTATCGAAAAAATGATTCGATCGGAGTAGATAGGAAAGTGTTTTAAAAGTTATTCAATAATGATATGTATAAATTAGTGGTAGCAAAGGTTTACGTGTAGAAATAATTATATTAACGATCTCAAGAGAATTTTTGAAGTATTGGTTTATGTTAAAGAAGCTAGAGAAGTGTGGTGTAAATAAGGCATCTTGTAGAAGTTACTAGTGTTGTAATAAACGTCATACTAACGAGTGAGTATGACAGCATGATTATATATATATATATATATATATATATATTATATATATATATATATATATATATATATATATATATATATATATATATATATATATATATATATATATATATAATATATATATATATATATATATATATATATACAACTATTTGATCAGAATAGTATTAGAAGTACAGTAGTAATTATTCTACTGTCATAGGAAGATAATTGTGGCATATTATTGATTCGACTGAGCTTAAAAGATAGACGACTGCTTGCCTGAAGAGCTTATAGTGGTGTTTATAGTGTATGTCAGTGAATAAATGCCGTTGAAAAGTGTCAACAAGAGTTTGGTGGTAGAAACTATTGTGATCAGTAACTGGTATGTGGTGGTGGTGGTTGTGGTAGAGATCAACTGTGGGTCGCCGGGGGTGATGTACAACGGGTGGTTGGAGGGGTCGAGCACGACCTTCGGAGCTGTGGTGGAGCCACGCTGCAACGACAACATGAAGTACGAAGGTCACCATGAACACCGCCTCGTCTGTCAGCAGAACGGAACCTGGTCCCACCCTCTGCCTAAGTGCTTTGGTAGGTATGACTGAACCACCATAAGTCGACTCTGCCACCCACACACCGCCTCCCTGCACATTGCTCTCTGCATTGCCTTCTGCATCTAAGCACAGCTACAGAAGCACCAGCAGCAGCAGCAGCAGCATCAGAAGCAGCAATAGCAGCAGCAGCAGCAACAGGGGCAGCAGAAGCATGATCATTATTATGCATGATATTTCTCACTTTCAGCTTATATACTGAAGAGTCCATAGCGAAATTAATATGATTTCACGATTCTTATACCGGATAAAAAAAAAAATACTGGCCATATATAATTAAAAGATTCACTTGAAATATTTTTCATCGTCTAGTTTGTTGATTTTTCTATGGAACTTTGGTGTGTTGCCTGTTATAGTGATAGAGGACAGCCTGTGCCTTAACCTCCACGTCAAACGGCTGAAGAGAAGACGATGTAGCTGGTAGGGCCGCCATGTTTCTGATTATTTCAGCCCTCTTTCGTGTTTTATCTTCTTGCACATTTTGCATGTTCAATTTGTACATTTTTCCTTTCGCACATTTTCTCCGTTATACTTCCTTTCTACGGATTGAGGCAAGAGGTGAGTGTCCTAGCGGGTTGTGTCCTCAGAGATCAACTGCGGACACCCTGGGCATCTATCCAACGGCTGGCTGGAAAACATCGAGCAAGGCACAGCTCTGGGCGCCTCCATCATCTTCCGCTGCTACCCAAACATGACTATCGAGGGAGACCAATCCACTGTTTGTCAGGCCGACGGTTCCTGGAGCAAGCCACTACCTATGTGCCTTGGTGAGTCTCGCCTTACCTGACCTGACTAAACCTTTCATCACCCGACATTAGACAAGGGATAATGAAAAAAAAAGTGCATCAGGCGGGATAAATAGATTTGTAGTGATATATGCTGAGAAATGTTAAGGGTTTAGCTAATACTAAACACGATACCATAACTGTAAAGGTGTTTGATGGTCTTCAGTGACATGGGGAAGATCCTGTATATGAATGAGTTGTTTATACCTAGACGAGTTGATTGTACGTGGAAGACTAATGTGGGTGGGTCTCTTGTACGTGTGAAATCTAAAAGGACAAGTTTCCTTTTCATGAGAGACCGATGTAAATGACATGACTACATGGTCATGGGATATTCAGGAGAATAAGATTCTTAACGTGAAAGATCAGAGGGACAAAACATGTGTACTTGGGAAACTTAGTTTACAACATGACCATGGAAGACTTAAGTGGATGAGATGATGGTGAAAGATGAAGGTTAAAGACTTATGTATGATTAACCTGCATGGGAATTAAATGAATGGATGAATTACTCACCCTTACAACAACGGGCGGACGAGTTTCCTCTACGTAGCAGATCTAACTGGTAAATTACCTGTAAGTGGGAGACTTAAGTGAATGTGATAATTGTAGAAAGATAACCTCGGCACATTGGCTGCGTATACGATAGTTACATGACTGACCTACCCACACACGACAGTTACACGACTGACCTACCCACACACGACAGTTACATGACTGACTTACCCACACACGACAGTTACATGACTGACCTACCCACTCACAACAGTTACATGACTGACCTACCCACACACGACAGTTACATGACTGACCTACCCACACACCACAGTTACATGACTGACCTACCCACACACGACAGTTACATGACTGATCTACCCACACACAACAGTTACACGACTGACCTACCAACACACGACAGTTACATGACTGACCTACCCACACACGACAGTTACATGACTGACCTACAAACACACGACAGTTACATGACTGACCTACCCACACACGACAGTTACATGACTGACCTACCCACACACGACAGTTACATGACTGACCTACAAACACACGACAGTTACATGACTGACCTACCCACACACCACAGTTACATGACTGACCTACCCACACACGACAGTTACACGACTGACCTACCCACACACGACAGTTACATGACTGACTTACCCACACACGACAGTTACATGACTGACCTACCCACTCACAACAGTTACATGACTGACCTACCCACACACGACAGTTACATGACTGACCTACCCACACACGACAGTTACATGACTGACCTACAAACACACGACAGTTACATGACTGACCTACAAACACACGACAGTTACATGACTGACCTACCCACTCACAACAGTTACATGACTGACCTACCCACACACGACAGTTACATGACTGATCTACAAACACACGACAGTTACATGACTGACCTACCCACACACGACAGTTACATGACTGACCTACAAACACACGACAGTTACATGACTGACCTACCCACACACCACAGTTACATGACTGACCTACCCACACACAACAGTTACATGACTGACCTACCCACACACCACAGTTACATGACTGACCTACCCACACACCACAGTTACATGACTGACCTACCCACACACAACAGTTACATGACTGACCTACCCACACACAACAGTTACATGACTGACCTACCCACACACCACAGTTACATGACTGACCTACCCACACACCACAGTTACATGACTGACCTACCCACACACCACAGTTACATGACTGACCTACCCACACACAACAGTTACATGACTGACCTACCCACACACCACAGTTACATGACTGACCTACCCACACACGACAGTTACATGACTGACCTACCCACACACGACAGTTACATGACTGACCTACAAACACACGACAGTTACATGACTGACCTACCCACACACCACAGTTACATGACTGACCTACCCACACACAACAGTTACATGACTGACCTACCCACACACCACAGTTACATGACTGACCTACCCACACACCACAGTTACATGACTGACCTACCCACACACAACAGTTACATGACTGACCTACCCACACACAACAGTTACATGACTGACCTACCCACACACAACAGTTACATGACTGACCTACCCACACACAACAGTTACATGACTGACCTACCCACACACGACAGTTACATGACTGACCTACCCACACACCACAGTTACATGACTGACCTACCCACACACAACAGTTACATGACTGACCTACCCACACACAACAGTTACATGACTGACCTACCCACAAACAACAGTTACATGACTGACCTACCCACACACAACAGTTACATGACTGACCTACCCACACACAACAGTTTCCAGGTGGGAGAATTAATTACGAGCGCATTTCAAGTGCATGAACTTCCTAGATAAGGAAAACTTGGTGGAAATCCTGGTTGCCCATTATGTTTACGTACACCTCAAGTTGCAAATGCACTTCATCTTTTCATTCATCCTATGCAAATGTTGCACCTTATAGTCATGCACATGAGTCACCAATTTCAAAAAAATTTTATGAGAGTATTAATAGTAGTAGACAAGTGCTTCATATGTTTGTTACTACGAGAACTACTATGAACTACGATTAACTACGATGAACTACGATAAACTATATAAATAACTAATAACTATTAATCTGTTTCATTTATTCTCGTAGTTTTTATTAATAGTTTTTTGAACTTTTATTTTCCTCTGTGGAGGTGCCATTGCGCCAGTGAGGGGCTCTTGATCCTAGGAAATGAATTTTTCCTCTGCTTCCTTGGATCTAGCCTGATTGCCTCCCATTTCCCAAGAGCTGCTTGACCATTATGGGTTTACCGCTTTTATCCTGATGTAAAGTAAGGTATATTTATTTCGATAATTTTCTTTTTTGGTTCGATTAAGTTTTAAAATAATTTAATTATACTTTTTATCTCCTGGTTAAATGTCTCCTTCAGATATTTAAACTGGTTTTAACCTGATCTTTGTCACACACACATACACACACACACACACACACACACACACACACACACACACACACACACACACACACACACACACACACACACACACACACACACACACACACACACAGGAGCTGTGACTCGACTCCTGCAACCATAAATAGGTGAGTGAGTACAGCAGTAAGCAGTAAGACAAGAGAGAGAGAGAGTGAGGTGGACAGACTGGGTTTTCTTAAACTGTAAGAAGACTTTTGACACTGTTCCACACAAGAAATTAGTTCAAAAGTTGGAGGACCAGGCATGGATAACAGGGAAGGCACTGCAATGGATCAGGGAATACCTGACAGGAAGACAACAGCGAGTCATGGTACGTGACGAGGTGTCAGAGTGGACACCTGTGACGAGCGGGTTCCACAGGGGTCAGTCCTAGGACCTGTGCTGTTCCTGATGTATGTGAATGACATGACAGAAGGAGTAGACTCAGAAGTGTCTCTGTTTGCAGACGATGTCAAGTTAATGATGCTGCCAACTGCAAAGTCATGAAGATCGGGGAAGGATAAAGAAAACCGCAGACAGAATACAATCTGGGAAACCAAAGACTACAAACTTCACTCAAGGAAAAAGATCTTAGTGTGAGTATAACACCGAACACATCTGAGGCGCACACTATTGCGCGTACGGGCGACTAGTACGTACGTTCAGGACTCGTTACACCGTGTACATCAGGGCTATATTGGAGTATGTAGCACAAGTTTGGAACCCACACCTGGCAAAGCACGTCAGGAAATTAGAGAAAGTGCAAAGGTTTGCAACGAGACTAGTCCCGGAGTTAAGGGACATGGCCTACGAAGAGAGGTTATGGGAAATAGACCTGACAACACTGAAGGACAAAAGTGACAGGGGTGACATGATATCAGCATATAAAATACTGAGAGGAATCGACAAGGTGGACAGGGACAGGATGTTTCAGAAATGGGACACACCAACAAGGGGTCACAATTGGAAGCTGAAGACTCAGATGAGTCACAGGGATGTTAAGAAGTACTGTATTTCTTCAGTCACAGAGTTGTCAGGAAGTGGAATAGTCTGGAAATAGAGGTGGTGGAGGCAGGATCCATACATAGCTTCAAGAAGAGGTATGATAAAGTTCACGGAGCAGGGAGGGAGTGACATAGTAGCGACCAGTGAAGAGGCGGGGCCAGGAGCTATGAATCAACCCCTGCAACCACAATTAGGTGAGTACAATGCGGTGATTACGTACATAACGGCAGTCTTCCACCAAGGCAGGTGACGCAGAAAAGAAGAAAACACTTTCCTCATCATTCACTCTCTGACTGTCTTGCCAGAGACGTGCTTACACTACAGTTAAAAAAACTGCACCATATCAACACCTGTTCTTTAGAGTGCAGGCACTGTACTTCCCACCTCCAGTACTCAATTCCGGCTAACTGGTTTCTCTGAATCCCTTCATAAATATTGTTTATCTAACACTCCAACAGCACGTCAAGTCATAAAAAAAAAACATTGACTTCCACTCTCTCGTATCTAACACGCTCACACACGCTTGCTGAAAGTCTAATCCCCTCTCACACAAAACCTCCTTCACAGCCTCCCTCCAACCCTGCCGAAGACGACCCATACCCCGCCTTCCTTTCACTACAGATTTATTCACTCTCCAAGTTAAATCCTCTCTAAATGCCTGAACCGTCTCAACAACCCCATTTCAAGTCTCTAAAAAATACTTTTAGAGACCCAGCACCTCCTCTTAATCGGATTCTCTGCACAATATTCACTCCACACATTACCCTCGGACACGACATCTCCACTGCCTCCAGCCTTCGCCTTGTTGCAACATTCACCACCCATGCCTCACACCCATATAAGAGCGTTGATACTATTATACTCTCATACATTTCCCTCTTTGCTTTCATGGATAACGTTCTTTGTAACCACAAACTCCTCAGTGCTCCACTCACCTTTTTCCCCTCACCAATTCTGTGGTTATCCTTGTTTTTCGTAGACTCATCAGTTGACAAGTCAATTCACAAATATCTGAAAACATTCACGTCCTCCATTCTCCCTCCTTCCAATCTTACATCCAATCTTTCATTCCCTATATTTTTTGTTATCCTCATCACCTTCTATTTTATAAGTTCACTTTTAATTTCCTTCTTTTACGTATCCTCCCAAATTCGTCCACTGACTTTTGATCTATAAATGCAACGAAAACCTCTTTACCCTTACCTATATACTGTTCACTTATATGCTTCACTGTAAACATTTGGTGTACACACCCCCTACCCTTCCTAAAGCCTCCTTGTTCATCTGCAATCCTGCTCTCCATCTTACTCTTAATTCTTTCAATAATAACTCTACCATACACCGTACAGGTAATCTCAACAGGCTTATTTCTCTATAATTCTTACACTCTTGTCCCCGTTGCATAAAAACGGGTATTAAGTCTGAAGTAACACATACAGAGTCTGTTTGGATAGAATTTTCAGAGGGGCATGAAAAACTGATTTTAGGAGTGATATACCGTCCCCCAAACTTAGATAGGGACCAAGGGAAACTACTATGGGAGGAAATTGTTAAGGCCACAAGGCACGATAATGTAGTAATTCTAGGAGACTTTAACTTTAGTCATGTTGATTGGAATTTCTTGACTGGGAATTTAGAATCATACGACTTCTTAGAAGTATTTCAGGATTGTTTTTTGAAGCAGTTTGTGACAGAACCTACAAGGGAAATAACCTGCTTGACTTAGTTATGGCAAACAATGAATCCCTTGTTAATAATTTAGAAATTTCAGAGGAACTGGGTGCTAGCGACCACAAATCAATTACATTTAGCATTGAATGGAAGTACGTTAGTAGCGATAACTCAGTAACAGTCCCAGATTTTCGCTTAGCAGATTACGATGGGCTTAGAGAACACTTATCATCTGTTGACTGGGGTAACGAAGAGAGCTATCAATATGACAGTTTTCTGAACACTATACATGCTGCTCAAAGAGCGTTTATCCCATATAAAGAAATTAGATCAAATAGAAATGACCCAAAATGGATGAATAATAGGCTCAAATATCTACTAGGGCAAAAGAAAGGAATTTATAGGCGTATCAAAAGAGGTGAGGGTCATCTTATGAATCAGTATATTGACATTAAGAGGGACATTAAAAAGGGGATAAGAAAAGCTAAAAGGGACTATGAAATTAAAGTTGCTAGGGATTCTAAAACTAACCCAAAAAGTTTTTTCCAGGTCTATAGAACAAAAGTTAGAGATAAGATAGGTCCCCTTAAAAATAACTATGGGCACCTTACTGACAAAGAGAATGAAATGTGCTTGATTTTAAATAATTATTTTCTCTCAGTTTTTACACAGGAAGACACTAACAATATTCCAGTAATTAATTTTTACAGTGGGCTAGAAGAAGATAAATTATGTAACATCACAGTCACTAGTGAGATGGTTGTGAGGCAGATAGACAGACTGAAGCAAAATAAGTCGCCAGGTCCTGATGAGGTTTTTTCAAGGGTTCTTAAGGAATGCAAAATGGAACTCTGTGAACCATTAACTAATATTTTTAATTTATCTCTTCAAACAGGTGTAGTGTCTGATATGTGGAAGATGGCTAATGTAACTCCTATTTTTAAAACAGGGGACAAGTCGTTACCGTCAAATTACCGCCCAATAAGCCTGACCTCAATTGTAGGCAAATTACTAGAGTCAATTATAGCTGAGATTATAAGAAGCCATCTCGATAAGCATAGCTTGATTAATGATACTCAGCATGGATTCACAAGAGGCCGGTCTTGTCTAACTAATTTATTAACTTTCTTCAGTAAAGCTTTTGAGGCTGTTGACCACAATAAAGAATTTGATATTATTTACTTAGATTTTAGTAAGGCTTTTGATAGAGTTCCGCACCATAGACTGTTAAAGAAAGTGGCAGCTCATGGCATTGGGGGAAAAGTGCTCTCGTGGATCGAGTCATGGCTCACTGACAGGAAGCAGAGAGTGTCCATAAATGGGGTTAAATCCGAGTGGGGATCTGTAACAAGTGGCGTTCCACAGGGATCAGTCTTGGGCCCGTTGTTGTTTATAATATATATCAATGATCTTGATGAGGGAATTACTAGTGATATGAGCAAATTCGCCGATGACACAAAGATAGTAGGATATTGATTCAACGTAGATGTTGGAATTTCGGATTTAAACAAATCTATTTGGTCAGAAAAGTGGCAGATGCAGTTCATGAGATACTTTCAAGTTGAGGCTTGGAGTGCCATAACACTATCTTATAAGTTAAATAATGTAGAACTAGCCATACAGATTGCGAAAAGACTTGGGGTTATGAGTGGCAGCACCATAAACCAGACAGCAATGCTAAGGTACGTAATAAGGCTTGATAAAGGTCCTGGAGAGCGAAACGTTGCCACAATAAATGTCACATTAGTTGCACTTGTGTCCTTTTACTTTTCAAGAAGTGTAAGCAACAGAAGTCCAGAGGTCATACTGCAGCTTTATACATCATTAGTAAGGCCTCACCTAGATTATGCAGCTCAGTTCTGGTCTCCGTATTACAAAATGGACATAAATTCGTTAGAAAACATTCAGCGTAGGATGACTAAATTAATACATAGCATCAGAAATCTTCCTTATGAAGAAAGATTGAAGACTCTTAAGTTACATTCACTTGTTAGACGAAGAATGAGGGGAGACCTGATCGAAGTGTATAAGTGGAAGATAGGTATAAATAAAGGGGATATTAATAAGGTCTTGAGGATGTCTCTCCAAGAGAGAACGCGCAGTAATGGATTTAAATTAGGTAAGTTTAGATTTAGAAAGGACATAGGAAAGTATTGGTTTGGAAATAGGGTAGTTGATGAGTGGAACAGTCTACCTAGTTGGGTTATTGAGGCTGGGACTTTGGGTAGTTTCAAATCTAGGTTGGATAAGTACATGAGTGGGAGGGGTTGGATTTGAGTGGGACTTTCACATCAGAGCTTATTTCTTGGGTGGCATTGAAAATTGGGTTGGGCAAATGTTTTGTTAGTGGGATGAATTGTAAAGGACCTGCCTAGTATGGGCCAGCAGGCCTCCTGCAGTGTTCCTCCTTTTCTTATGTTCTTATGTTCTTGCCAATCATTAGGTTTCCTCTCTCTCATACATTTATTAAATAAATGCACTAACCATTTCAAAACTATATCCTCACCGGCTATTAACATTTCTGTCTTAGCTCCATCAATCCCAGCTGCTTTGCTTAACCCCTGGTCATTCTACCCTCAGCTTCACGCTCCTCCCCCACACTCACTGGATAAATGGGTAAATGAAAATGGGGAGCCTTTAATTGAGCTATGTGTAGAAAGTGGTTTTGTGATAAGTAATACATATTTTATGAAAAACAGGATAAATAAGTATACAAGGTATGATATAGCACGTAATGAAAGTAGTTTGTTAGATTATGTATTGGTGGATGGGTAGGCTCCAAGATGTACACGTTTATAGAGGGAAAACTGATATATCGGACCATTATTAAGTTGTAGCTACAGTTAGAGTAAGAGGTAGATGGGACAAGAGGAAAATGGCAACAGTAAGTAAGATAGAGGTGAAAGTGTATAAACTAATGGAGGAGGAAGTTCAGGTGAGATATAAGCAATTATTGGCAGAAAGGTGGGTAGTGGGGGGGGGGGGTGAAGAGGGTTGGAATAGTTTTAAAATGCAGTATTAGAATGTGAGGCAGAAGTTTGTGGTTATAGGAGGGTGGGTGCAGGAGGAAAGAGGAGTGATTGGTGGAATGATGAAGTAAAGGGTGTGATAAAAGAGAAAAATGTCGCTTATGAGAGGTTTTTACAAAGAAGTGACATAATAGCAGAGTATATGGAGAATAAAAGAAGGGTGAAGATGGTGGTGAGAGAGTTCAAAATAACAGCAAATTATAGAGTGGGAGAGGCACAGTCAAGAAATTTTGCTGAGAATAAAAAAAAAGTTGGAGTGAAATAAACAAGTTAAGAAATCCTATTATAATAGTATATATATCAAAAGAGAAATAGGAAAAAAATTATCCATAAAGGTATTCAAAATCGCTGAGTATTCAACCTACCTGGAGGGTGTTCCAGGGGTCAAAGCCCCCGCGGTTCCGGTCAATGACTAGCATCATGTCACAATAATGTTAAATCAATAAAAAAGCTGCTAGGACCTTAGATGTAAGCAGTAGACACCACAACTAAAAACATTTATAGTTTTCCACTGCTGTTACTCTAACTTTGGACTGAAACATTCTAAGCGATTCTGAAAAAAATAAACTTTTCTAACCATTTATTTATTAATGTATATTTGTTTATTATAAATATTTTTCCCCATCCCTTCCCTCCACGTCAACTAATACTGAATTGCAAAACATTTTGATGAGGTCTAAATCTATTTTCTGTTAAATACCTTCAATGAACGTGTACATTAGTTTAAAAGCAAGGCAGTGAGATTTATCATGGCCTCTGGATATACCTGCAGCGCCCTGCATAGTGCCAACTATTGAACATGGTCGCCTACGCAACGATACTCGTGCTGGCTCGCAGGTGCCACATGGCAGCATCATAGATGTGGAGTGCAACCAGAACTACGAACTGGCTTACAGTTTGGCACCTTCTCTCTGCTATAACGGTACCTGGACCAATTATCCAAGATGCCAGCCAGGTAAACACCTCTATAATTATCTGTTTGCATATTTGTAGTGATGTTTCTTCTTTGCTAATATGATCATCATGTGTTTTTTTGTTTTTCAAAAACTTTCACTTGTAGTTGTAGCCTTAAAATTTTTTTTCAAAATTTTCGGTTGTAGTTGTAGCCTTAAATTTTTTTTCAAAATTTTCGGTTGTAGTTGTAGCCTTAAATTTTTTTTCAAAATTTTCGGTTGTAGTTGCAGCCTTAAAATTTTGTTCAAAATTTTCGGTTGTAGCTGTAGCCCCTAAGTCTGTAGAGACTAAATTTATCTTGTAACTGGAAAGTAGTGATTTCTTTCTGGTTTAAATTATATACCAGTAAACGTTTTGTTGCATTACAAATTATTGACGGCAGTAAAGACGTTGCAATATACAGAACATTAGTAAAAATACCAATAGTTTTTCTCTTGTTAGACGATCAGAATAATAATAATGATCGTATGAGATGAACTTGAACGTAAGTGATCTTTCTGAGCAATAAATAAATGTACCTAAAAAAAAACAGAAGAGAAAATAAAGGAATTTAATGGAAAGTGGACACATATTTGATGGAGTCGTCCAGTCATGGGGGGAAAAATATCAGCCTGGGAAGAATATCGTAGAAGTAAAATCTGATCCCAGAAACGGGAGAATGGTTCCAGTTCCTGGGATCAAGAGACCCTTTGAAGTATTTCATTGAAAAAAAAAATTAAAAGAATTATGGATGTAAATTACTTATTATAAGAGACAGAGGATTTTCCGAAGACTATAGAATTTTTGAAAAATAATATTCCATAACCTATAGCAATAATAATAATAATAATAATAATAATAATAATAATAATAATAATAATAATAATAATAATAATAATAATAATAATAATAAAAACAATAATAATAATAATAATAATAATAATAATAATAATAATAATAATAATAATAATAATAATAATAATAATAATAATAATAATAATAATAATAACGGACACATTAAAACTGTGTACCTTATTCATGAATAAGACACATTTGCAACTCCTAGATAATATTGTTGTCGAAACGAGTGAAAACATCAACAATACCTCTACTGCTTCCAGTGCTGTTTTCACCTGTATCCGACTGAAGAAGACTGTTGTGCTGGCGAAACGTTACTACAATAAAGATACTAACGTGTTTCAAACCTGTCTTATTTTTCAACTCATTAATTAGTCACGCCAGTGTCGTTCACAGTCAAAATCTACATAATCACACTTATTCTTCTTTCAGCAAACACGATTTTGAAAACCGTCGAGAAGCGCTAATTTCCATTAATTTTCTTATCAACCTTCACTGGGTGTTGTGGCCGCGTCCCGGCCAGCACGCTGTAAGAAGCTGCCAGAGCGTCCCAGGCACGGAATGGTCATCGCTCCTAAGACCGACCACGGGAAAAAGGCTCGATATCGCTGCAAGGATGGTTACGAACTGCTGGGACCAATCACCACCAGATGTCACTACGGAAACTGGACAAGCATCACTCCAAAATGCCAGGAAGGTGAGTAGGCACCAACGTCACGATTCATCCTCAACCCCCATGGTCATTCTCAAATTTTTTTTTTTTTCTTTCTAATCGTGCGTGTTCACGCACACCCACACTCCCACACACACACACACACACACACACCACACACCACACACCAGCACAGACACACACACACACACACACACACACACACACACACACACAACACACACAACCACACATACCACACACACACACACACTACACACACACACACACACACACACACACACACACACACAACATAAAGAACATAGAACATAAAATGTAGGAACCTGCAGAAGTGCTACTGGCCCATACGAGGCAGGTCCTTTTATCAAAACGACATCTACCTAAAGCACTCAAGACACAACTCCCGCACCCCCCGCCAACACCAATCAAACCCACCCCTCCCGCTCATATATTTGTCCAGGTCCTCTTCTTAAAGCTAACCCAAGGGGTCCTAGCCTACTATCACCCGCACTGGAGACACTGTTCCACGCATCTACCAACTCTGTTAGAAAACCCATTATTCATACCTATGGTCCTTTTCTAAATCAAATTTGCCAACCTTAAAAATCCATTCTTCCGTTCTTAACTGGTTCGCACAAGCCCTCAGTACTTTTATTAATGTCCCCCTTGTTTATGCCCGTCATCCACTTATAACACTTCAATGAATATCTCCCCCTCCTTCTATTAACGCCTCCTCCAAAAGTGGCTAGATTTTAAGGCTTTAAGTCTTAATTCTTCATACGGAGGTCCTTACACCGAAAATCATTTAGTCATTTCTTCTCTGTAGTTCCTAATGAGTCAATGTCCCTCCTGTATTAAGTGGGAACCAAAATTTTGAGCCACATGATCTACAATGGGCCTCACTATTGATGTATAAGGCTGTAAATAACTGTTGGACTTCTGTTACTTATACTTCTTGAGATAAATCCAAGTAATCTGTTGCCTTTGTTGCGCACACTGAGGCACTGCTGTCCTTGGCTTAAAGATTTCTCTTACCAAGACTCCCAATCTTTTTCACATTCTGTATGACCAAGCTCTACTTCACCTAGATTAAATCTTCGAGGGTCATTTTTCAGTACCAAGGCAAGTGAACCTTACACTTATGCACATTAAACTTCATACTGCCATTTCCTTTCTCAGACCAAGACATTAATTTGTTCAAATCGTCCTTGAGTTCATTGTATCCTCCTCAGAGTGAATTATAACGCCTTATCTTTGTATCATCAGCAACTTTACTCATGTCACTAGTAATCCCTTCATCAAGGTCAATGAATGTAAATTATTGAACAAGAGAGGGCCTAAAAGCTGATCCTTGTGGGAAACGCCCACTAGTGACTAATCCAATTCAGTTTCAACTCCATTAATGGTAACTCACTGCTTTCCCTAATTGGTAAAGCCATTCCTCAATCCATGCTAGAACTTTACCTCCTATACCATGAAGCTGCCACTATTTCTAGAATCCTCTTGTGAGTACTCTGTCGAAGGCATTACTAAAACCAAATAAACAATATCATATTCCTTTCACTGTCAACTGTCTCAAATGATTACTATTGAAGAACGTCAGTAAAGTTTGTCACCGGTACGACCCTCTCGTGAATCCATGCTGAGATTCATTTATCAATTTTGCACTACAAGTAGACTTCTGAACATGTCAGCTATAATTGATTCTAATAACTTGCCCCACATATAGATGTCAGGCTTATGTACGGAAATTTGTGAACATAAGAACATAAGAACATAAGAACGAGGAACATGCAGGCAGGCCTGTTGGCCCATACTAGGCAGGTTCCTTTACAATTCCATCCACTAACAAACATTGACCTACCCAATTTTCAATTCTACCAAAGAAATAAGCTCTGATGTGCAAGTCCCACTTCAAATCCAACCCATCCTAATCATGTATTATCCAACCAAAATGTTGAAACTACCCAAAGTCCTAGCCTCAATAACCCAACTAGGAAGAACTGTTTCCACCACTCATCAACTACCCTATTTCCAAACCAATACTTTTCCTATGTCCTTTCTAAATCTCAACTTATCTAAATTTAAATCCATTTACTGCGGGTTCCCTCTCTTGGAGAGATATCCACAAGACACTTGTTAATATCCCCTTTATTAATACCTAACGTCCCCTTATACACTTCGATCAGGTCTCCCCTCATACTTCGTCTAACAGTGAAAGTAAACTTAAGAGTCTTCAATCTTCTTCATAAGAGATTTCTAATGCTAAGTATTAATTTAGTCATCCTATGCTGAATGTTTTCTAACGAATATAAGTCCAATCTGTAATATGGAGACCTATTGAGCTGCAAAATCTAGGTGAGGCCTTACTAATGTGTATAACGCTGCAGTTATGACCTCTGGACTTCTGTTCTTACACTTCTGATATAATCCAGTAATCTATTTGCCTTAATTAACTACGCTTAGGCATTGCTGTCTGGTTTAAAGGTTCAGCTAGCCATAACCCCCAGTCTTTTCCGCAATCTGTATGGTTAAGTTCTACCTTATTTAACTTAAAAATGCTAGGGTTATGGACACTCCCGAGCTCAGAACCTTGCATTTATCTACATTACCTGCTTCTGCCACTTTTCAGACAAGGTAGAGTTTTCTAAATCCTCCTGAAGTTCCCTAAACATCTACTTTTGAATCAATTTATCCCTACCTATCTTCGTGTCATCGTCGAATTTGCTCATATCACAAGTAATCCTTCATCAAGATCATTTATATAATATAAACAACAACGGGCCCAATACTGATCCCCAGTGGGAACGCCACTTGTTTACTGATTCCCCACTCGGATTTAACCCCCACTATGGACATCGCTTTTGCTCCTGTCTGTGAGCCATGATTCGATCCAACGATAGCACCCTTCCCCAAAGGCCATGATCCGTCTACTTTCTTCAAAACATTCTTTGGTGCGGAACTCTATCAAATGCCCTTACTTAAAATCTACGGTACAATTAATATCAAATTCTTTATCGTGGCAAACACCTCAAAAGCTTTACTGAAGAAAGTCAAATAAATTAGTTAGACAAGACCGGCCTCCTTGTGAATCCTGCTGAGTATCATATAATCAGCTATGCTTATCGAGAAGGGCCCCTTATATTTTTCTTATAATCTCATCTATAATTGACTCTAGTAATTTGCTAGCAATTGAGGTCAGGCTTATTTGGGCGTACTTGGACGTAACGCTTGTCCCCTGTTTTTAAAAAATAGAATTACATTAGCCATCTTCACTTAACAGAACACTACTGCACCTGTTTGAAAGAGATAAATTAAAAATATTAGTTTAATGGTTCACAGACTTCCTTTTCATTCCTTTAGAACCCTTGAAAAAAACCTCATCAGACTCCCGTGACTTATTTTGCTTCATCTGTCCTAAACTGCTTCACAACATTTCACTATGGACTTTTGATTTTACATAATTTATCTACTTCTGATGCACTATAAAAATTATTATCCGGAATATTATTAGTGCTTCCTAGTGTAAACACAGAGAGAAAATAAATATTTAAAATCGAGCACATATCATTCTCTTGTCAGTTAAGTGCCCATATTTATTTTTAAGGGACCTATCTTATCTCTACTTTTGTTCTAATAGACCTGGAAAAAACTGTTTGGGTTAGTTTTATAATCCTAGCAACTTTAATTTTCATAGTCCCTTTTAGCTTTTCTTATCCCCTTTTTAAATGTCCCTCTTAATGTCAATATACTGATTCATAAGATGACCCCTCGCCTCTTTTGTGATACGCCTATAAATTCCTTTCTATGCCCTAGTAGATATTCAGCCTATTATTCATCCATTTGGTCATTTCCTATTGATCTTCTTTCCTTATAAGATAAACGTATCTTTGAGCAGCATTAATTGTGTTCAGACAACTGTCATAATTGATAGCTCTCTTTCGTTCCCCCAGTCCAACAATGAAAGTGGTTCTCTAAGCCCATCCGTAATCTGCTAAGCGAAAATCTGGGACTGTTTACTCGGAGTTATCCCTACTATCCTACTTCCCATTCAATTCTGCAAGTAATTGATTTGTGTCGCTAGCACCCAGTTCCTCTGAAACTTCTAAATTAGTATCAAGGGATTCATTTGTTTGCCAGGAACTAAGTCAAGCAGGTAATTAACCCCTTGTAGGTTTCCTGTCACAAACTCTTCAAACAACAATCCTGAACTACTTCTAAGAAATTCATAGTTTATGCAAACATGAATCCCTAGTTAATAATTTAGAAATTTCAGAGACTGGGTGCTAGCGACCACAAGTCCAATTACATTTATCATTTGAATGAAGTACGATAGTATCGATAACTCAGTAACTTTCCCCGCAGATTTTCGCTTAGCAGATTACGATGGCTTAGAGACTCTTATCATCTGTTGACTGGGGTACCGAAGAGACTATCAATATGACAGATTTCTGAACACATAACATGCTGCTCAAAGAGCGTTTATCCTCGTATAAAGAAATAGATCAAATAGAAAATGGACCCAAAATTGGATGAATTATAGGCTCCAAATATCTACTAGGGCCTACTAAAGGAATTAATATAGGCGATCAAAAGAGTGAGGGTCCTCTATGAATCAGTATATCGACATTAATATGTACATAAAAAGGATATGAAAAGATAAAAGGGACAAATGAAATTAAAGTAGCTAGGGATTCTAAACTAACCCCAAAAAGTTTTTTTCCAGGTCTATAGAACAAAAGTTATAGATAATATAAGGTCCCCTAAAAATAACTATGGGCACTACTGACACTGAGAATGAAATGTGCTTGATTTTAAATAAATATTTTTCGCTCATTTTTACACAGGAAGACACTAACAATATTCCAGTAATTATTTTTACAGTGGGCTAGAAAAGATAAATTATTTAACATCCAGTCCACTAGTGAGGATGGTTGTGAGGCAGATTAGACAGACTGAAGCAAATAAGTCGCCGGGTCCTGATGAGGTTTTTCCAAGTTCTTAAGGAATGCAAAATTCGG